CTCTTTGTCTCTTTCTCATTTTCCTTCCTTCTAATCTTCCTTCCTTCCTTCCCTTCCTTCCTTCTCTTTGTGCCTTTCTCATTTTCCTTCCCTTCTAATCTTCCTCCCTTCCTCCCTTCTCCTCTTTGTCTCTTTCTCATTTTCCTTCCTTCTAATCTTCCTTCCTTCTCCTCTTTGTGCCTTTCTCATTTTCCTTCCTTCTAATCTTCCTTCCTTCCTTCTTTCCTTCCTTCTCCTTTGTCTTTCTCATTTTCCTTCTAATCTTCCTTCCTTCCTTCTCTTCCTTCCTTCCTTCCTTCTCTTTGTGCCTTTCTCATTTTCCTTCCTTCTAATCTTCCTCCCTTCTCCTCTTTGTCACTTTCTCATTTTCCTTCCTTCTAATCTTCCTTCCTTCCTTCCTTCTCCTTTGTCTCTTTCTCATTTTCCTTCCTTCCTTCCTTCCCTTCCTTCCTTCTCTTTGTGCCTTTCTCATTTTCCTTCCTTCTAATCTTCCTCCCTTCTTTCCTGCCTCCCACCCTCCCTCCCTCCCATGCTGAAGCCCTCCTGATGAGACAGAGGGCTGCACTCCCCCCTCCTCTCTTTCTCTGAGCTCACTGCCTTCCCAGCAGCCCAGACAGAAGGCAGGAAGTTGAGGTCAGCCCTAACCTCGGGACAAAGAGAGTCGGGTCAGGGCTGCGCAAGTTTTCCCAACTGGGCCGGGCTGCTCAAAGCTTTTCAAGTCCCACCCACTTACAGAAAAGCCAAAGGCCACCCCCCACCCCACCCCCCCAAGCTGAGCTGGCACTCTTTTACCTAGGGAACGAAGTAAACAAGTAATTGCCACAAGACTGTCAAACTATTTAATAAAGCTGTATTACCGTTATTCTTCTCGTCCTTTCTATTACCTATCTCCTTTTCTACTTATGACCATAGTCTTTGTTGCCTGTATCTTTACGATTTATATTGCTTTGTTTAGTTTCCTAGTACGATTTATGCTGACTGCTTATTTAGTATCCTATGGTTATTAAAGTGTTGAATCTTATGATTTATGATGAATGTATTTTTACGATGACTATGATCATGATTTATCACTTACAGCTTTTATGTATACTAAGAGCTTATTCACCAAAGACAAATTCCTTGTGTGTCCAATCACATCTGCCAATAAAGAATTCTATTCTATTCTATTCTATTCTATTCTATTCTATTCTATTCTATTCTATTCTATTCTATTCTATTCTATTCCCTATTCTAATTCTAATTCTATTCTTATTCTATTCCATTCCATATTCCAAAATTCTATTCTATTCTGTTCTATTCTTATTCTATTCCACTCTATTCCTCATTCCAAAATTCTACTGTATTCTTTCTAATTCTATTCTTTCTAATCCTATTCCTATTCTATTGTTACTGAGCCGCAGTGGTGCAGTGGTGAGAGGGCAGTACTGCAGGGCTACCTCCGCTGACAACCGGCTGCCTGCAATTTGGCAGTTCAAATCCCATCCGGCTCAAGGCTGACTCAGCCTTCCACCCTTCTAAGGTGGGAAAAACGAGGCTCCAGATTGTTGGGGGCGATAGGCTGACTCTGTAAACCGCTTAGAGGGGGCTGTAAAAGCAACGGCGAAGCGGTATATAAGTCTAAGTGCTATTGCTGTTGCTATTTTATTTCCCATTCTTCTCTCCTCTCCTCTCCTCTCTTCTTCTATTCCATTCTGGAAGAGAAACAGGAGGAGGAGGGCTCACTCCTGGCTGCTGGGGCAAGATGCTCTCTGCTGGATCAGAGCTTTGGAGACCAGACCCGGAAGGCAGAGCTCAGGTACTCACAAATGATTGAACATCCTCTTCATTTCGTCGGTGATGTTCAGAGAGCAGCTGACGTCCCCCTCCGAGAAGCGGGCGTTGTCCGTGTCCGGCTCGGCCACGTCTTCTTCCGATGTGAACCGGCGTTCCTTCTTCTTGGAGGCAACCTTAATCGGAGAGAAGGGCCGTCACGACAAGGCCCAGGCTGAGCGGCTGCACTGGGACGACGTGGGAGAGGAGCAGAGAAGGCCGGACAAGCGCTCTGCAAGGGAAGGAAACTCCCCGGGCAGCACACAAGCCACACGAGAGGTGTTAAAACTCACAGGCCGCAAGGAAATCGGAGGAAGGAGGAGGAGGAGGAGGAGGCACGCAGCAGAAGCAAGCCACGGGCGGCCTCGGCAACTTGGCCAGCCATGCGTGGGCCCAAAGGAGGAAGGGGGGGGGGACAGGACGCTTGAAGCAGCAGAAGGTGCTCAGGATGGGAAGCTGCAGAGCTAGAGAGGATCTGGCAGGAAGGCTCTTCTCGGCCTCGGGGAGAAGCCCGCCCTACGGCCCGTGTCCATCAACTGGGAAGGCTAAATCGGGCCGGGAAAAAGGGGCTACGTAGAATGGAAGTCAGAGGAAAGAGAGACTGGAAACACAGACACACGCGCACACCCCACCGGTGGTTAGTTCCAGACACCAGAGAACGAAAAGGAGACTCTCGTTCACGACCGTCAAACACCGAGTGAGGGAGGCCTCTGGGTGGGCCATTTGGGGGTGGGGCTCAGCCTTGGAGGCGACGAGTGGCTTGGGGCAGCCACTCCTGGCTTGCAGGCCTCCCCCCGAAGGCAGCCAAGGGCTTGGCTGGCTTAATCCCAGGTCCACTAGCCAGGGATCTAGAAAAATGAGGTGGGTCCTCCTGACAGCTACACGACTCCTCCTTGGCATCTGGGGGGGTCTTGTGAACCCTCAGGAGGGAAGGAGGGGAGGATGGGGCCCCGGGAGGTCATCCGTCGCCTCCCCGGCTCCACTCCTGCTCCCCCCTCCTCCTCCTCCCCTCCCTGAACAACACAGCCATCTTCTCCAGCCGAATCACCTGGAATATCTTGGAAACGTCTTCCGAGTTGCGCTGCTGTGCTACATCGCACAGCTTGGCTGTGATATCAATACGCCGGCAGATGTCCATGTCCACTTTCATGGCTTTCTCTTGGATCTTTGAGTCCAGGTCGGTCATGGGCTGCGGGAAGGACAGCAGGGGAGGGGGGGGAGGCGGATTACAAACCTCGGAAGGGCGGAAAGACACTCGGAAGGATCAGGCCGGCCTTTGGGCAAACACGGCGCCTCTTTTCCCCCCCCCCGCACCCCCAAAGTTTCCGCTTGGGGAGGGTGCTCGAGTGATCGCGCGTGAAGGGATCCTCTCGAGAAGTTGCTGGGGTCTTTCCCCAGATGGGTGGGAGAAGATCTCTCCCCAGGGGATACAGGGACGATCGGATACGCCAAGTCCACCTAGGAACCTCGCCAATCTGCTGGGCGAGAGAGAGAGGCCTCCCCGCTACCTTGTCTAAACCCGAAAAGGTGCTTTTCCGAAAGGCAACTGGGAAAACTTTCTTCGTTTTTTTCCGCCCCCCCAATTGAAAACGTTTCGCTTCTCACCCGAAGAAGCTTCTTCGGTTCCGACTCTCGGATTTCACTCAGTTCACTCGGAACGGAGGAAGCTTCTCGGATGAGAAGCGAAACGTTTTCAAAGGGGGGGGGGGGGAACCCCAAAAAAAATTTGGGGCAACCGGGACCGGGGTGACGGGGAATCTCTCCCACAGACAATGTTAGCAGCCTGTCGCCAATGTGGCTCTTCACTCTCCGAGCCAAAGAGTCTCGGAATCAAAGCCAACAAGGGAAGGAGGGAAGGAGAACCCCCTTCTGCTTTTGGGCAAGGAAGGGTCACACCTCTGCTATCTCACCTGTTGTGTGTCTGCTTTTCACACAACACGCCCCAAAGAAACTCCAACGCGCTTGGAACCCCTGGGAACACGCGAGAAAGGGGGAGGTGGGATCTTGTATCTGGACCCCCACCCCCACCCCCAATTTG